CCAGTTGGCAACCGGTCACAAGTGGTGTTCCCCAGGGCTCACTTTTGGGGCCAGTCTTATCAACTATCTGGATGAGGGGGTTGAGTGCACCCTCAGTAAGTTTGCAGATGACACCAAACTGGGTGGGAGTGTCGATCTGCTGGAGGGTAGGACGGCCCTGCAGAGGGACCTGGACAGGCTGGACCGATGGGCTGAGGCCAACTGTATGAGGTTTAAAAAGGACAAGTGCCGGGTCCTGCACTTCGGTCACAACAACCCCATGCAATACTACAGGCTTGGGGAAGAGTGGCTGGAAAGCTGCCTGGCTGAAAAGGACCTGGGGGTGCTGGTTGACAGCCAGTGTGCCCAGGTGGCCAAGACAGCCAACAGCATCCTGGCTTGTATAGGGAACAGTGTGGCCAGCAGGAGCAGGGAGGCGATTGTTCCCCTGTACTCGGCGCTGGTAAGTCCGCACCTGGAATACTGTGTCCAGTTTTGGGCCCCTCACTACAAGAAAGACATTGAGGTGATGGAGCATGTTCAGAGAAGGGCAACAAGGCTGGTGAAGGGTCTGGAGCACAGGCCTTATGAGGAGCGGCTGAGGGAACTGGGATTGTTTAGCCTGGAGAAGAGGAGGCTGAGGGGAGACCTTATCGCTCTCTACAACTGCCTGAAAGGAGGTTGTAGTGAGGTGGGTGTTGGTCTCTTCTCCCATGTAGTTAGCAATAGGACGAGAGGAAATGGGCTTAAGCTGTGTCAGGGGAGGTTTAGATTGGATATTAGGAAAAATTTCTTCATGGAAAGGGTGGTCAAGAATTGGAACAGGCTGCCCAGAGAGGTGGTGGAGTCACCATCCCTGGAAGCGTTCAAAAAACGGGTAGATGTGGCACTTCAGGACATGGTTTAGTCTAGTCTACCCTTGATTGGCTTAGAGTAGACTTGGTAGTGTAGGTTAATGGTTGGACTGGACAATCTTAAAGGTCTTTTCCAACCTAAACGATTCTATGATTCTAAGCTTGCAGTACAAATTAACATCAATGACACAACACCTCTAAAGAACTAGTTTGTTACAGTCACCGTTCACAAAGGAAATTCATTTCCCTACCTTCCATGGTAGATATAAACTCCACTTCATCAGCGGTGTTAGTGGTCAGAACTTTATAGAAGTTATGAAGCTTTTCATTCTTTGTGAAATTCTGTGATAAGGGAGGGGCAGAAAGATGTGTTATTTGCTTATTTATTTCTAGTTTTAACAGAGCAAATGCGTTTATATTCAGGAAATACAAGGATCAAATACCTCCATGGAGAGGCTCCACATATGAAAGTTTGATGTCACTGGCTCAGTACCAAGTGCATGTAAGACATCATCAGGGAAATTCTTGAATAATCTACTGTCTTTTGCAGCTATTACAAAGAAAAATCAAAAAAAGGATATTGTCCATTACCCAAGCTGCTAACAGATGGACTAAGACTGAACAGGAAACAAGTTTAATAAAATACTGCATTAAAGTAAACTTTTTTCTGTAGTGTAACTTTATGACTGTAAAATACAGTGCAAGGAAAATCAGTGAAATAACTGCAACAGGATTCTAATAAGCTCTTACCACAGTCCTCCAGTCCTGACCCAGAGAGGACCCAACTTTGCTACCTAAGTTCTCACTAAAATTAAACATCATTCTTTGCCACTCATTTCAGTGACCTTTCCATTCACAATGAGCATAAATGACAGAGTTTGTGAATGCTACATGGTCCGCAAATAGATTACTCACAAATTAAAGGATAAAGTATCAACAGAGGCCACATTTTACCAGTGTTGCTGAGTGGCACAGCTCTATCTTAGGAGATCTCTCTGATTTCAATACTGTACAAGTGGGACAGCAATGCTAATATTCATCATTAGGAAAGATGCAATTTGAAAATTTAAAATCACCTGCTCTCCAAGTTTGATAGGTTTTGGACCCATGAATTTTGTTCAACTCAGTAACAAAAAGGGACCTGAACCCACATTATTTTTGTAGGTCCAAATTATCAAAAGACTCAAAGAGCCACAACTGAGAGGTAGTGGAGGCCCCATCCCTGGCAACATTCAAGGTCAGGTTGGACGGGGCTCTGAGCAACCTGATCTGGTTAAAGCTGTCCCTGCTCACTGCAGGGGGTTGGGCTAGATGAACTCTAAAGGTCCCTTCCAACCCAAAACATTCTATGATTTTATGAATTGTGGTTTTTGCTGACTGCTGTTGCTTTCAAATGGCTTGTGCTCACATCTCTGCTTTTGAAGCAATAAAGTTGCACTGACTTTATAAAAACAGTCATGGCATCTTAATAAGAAATAATTTAACAAGATAATAATCAGAAATCTCCCAAACATTCACCCCTGCATATTTATCACAAACAAAACACAACACCTCTCAGCAAAACTCAGACATGAGATGTAATAGATTCTTCACCTGAGGTAAAGTTCAGAGGGAGTGCAAAACCTTGTGTCTTGGTATTAACAAGTAAAAGTTCGCCACTTGTGAGATACGTAAGCTCTTCGTGTCCAAGACATGTTCCCCATACTGGGAAATAATCTCCTTTATCGTTAGCCTTCAAAATAAAAAGAAAAAGCAACAACATAAGGAAAAAGTACTGAAGATTTACAGAAAGAAGACTGAAGAGAACTTCCCACTCTTTTCACTTTCTCTTGCGCAGGTGAGAAGTAAAGCTACTACAGTAGTACAAATTGCTACCAGAGGAGTTGTAACAGCTCAATTACAATTGAAACAAACACAGACTTGCTTAGTTTTTCTCCTAAATTATGAAGACTAGGGGATATACACATGTCTGCTGAAGCAGTAAACTGAGCCTAATGTTGATATTAATTTGACTGTTCTGTTCTACAAGTAAGTAATGTTGAGAGCAGCCTAAACAGAAACAACAAAAAGGCACCATTGCTATAAAAAAGGTAATCATAAGAAGGGACATAAACCAATCTGTCACCATTTTGAGGGAAAGCCTATTCATTACAATTCATACTTTTATATGAAGTGCATTATGGTCACATAGCAAGGGCCCTTTGCAACGTCCATACACCTGTGCCCACCAATCTGTATTAATAAAACATAAATCCTATTACTAGCATGGCTACGGTCTTAAGTGACATACTTTTATGCTTGTTTAACTAGCAGGTTTGCACCTGTGTTCCAGAAAGACAAATTGTGAGTTTAAGCAACATAATAAAGTGACAATCATTTTCAAAAGAATAAAACTTGGCAGGTAAGTGCAAAAACAAGAGAAGCAAGCAAAAAGGGGATATGGAAAGCAAAAAGAGAACACAACTAGCTTCCTGTCACTTAACTAAGCACAGTGCATACACACAGAGGAAAGTTGCATTTTTATATGGTTTATTCCTGATAGTAAGTGCATGTTAGAGACTGGGATGTTTCAGAACTCTCATTTCTGTGAAATCCGAGTAGTCTTTCTTAATTTGTTTCTAAATATTTTTAAGTTATGCATACTACACTCCCCCCCGAAGAGCTGCTGGTCAAAAGCCCTTTTTGAGAAAGCTGAAATTACAGGCTTAGAATAAAAATGTTACCTTACTGCATTAGTGATAGTATGGTAATAAAAGCCCATATAACTACTTCTCAGAGCAAAACACGGAAGATTTACAGAAAGAAGGCTACTAGTACTGCAGAGTCTTCATGACCACCCATCATGAATGGCTAGACACAGGACTTGGAACTCCACTGTCTCTCTTTCATGTAAGTGAGGAATAAAACTTGGTGGTGATAATGCCAAGGTTGCAGGTTCAATCCCCGTATGGGCCCCCCGGGGAGTTGGCCGGGGGGCAGGGATCACTGCTTGGGAATGGGCTGGGCGTTGGTCAGCTGGTGGTGAACGGTTGCATCACTTGTTTTTCCTGGGTTTTGTTTCTCTCTCTTTCATTGTTCTCCTTTTCATTACAATTTTTATTACAATTATTATTATTATTTCAATTACTAAACTGTTCTTATCTCAACCCACAAGTTTTCTTACTTTTGCCCTTCCGATTCTCTCCCCGATCCCACCGGGGAGGGAGGGCGAGCGAGCAGCTCTGGTGATTGGTTGTCAACACGGGCTAAACCACAACAACCACTAAAGGCAAAAAATAGACCACAGTTTAAGGACAATTACAACTGAACTGTAAACATTTTGTAACAACCCCCCCCACACTTTTTTTTTTAAATATATATTAGTCCACAGGCTAAGCATATATTAAACAACACCCAAGACATCACATTTTCAAAACTGAATTAAAAGCTGGAAAACAGTATTTCATTTAGGTTTTTGCCTAGCTGGTAAAATTCTATTGACTTGGATGGGGATTAGATTTCACATCCTCTACTCATATTAAAGCAGAGCCAGACCAAGTCATTTCTCATTGTGAACATTTGAAAATGAAAAGGAGCCCTCATATGTTTTAAAAAAAAAACATAAAATTCAGTCAATTCTGTATCTGCTAATATACTTGACTATTGTAGCTTACATTACATTAGTAAAACTACCAATATTTTATAGTGCTAATTAAGTCTTAAAAGATGAAAATCAAAACATGCAATCATCACAAATAGTACAGAGAAAAACCCCGACTTAGAAGGGTTACCTACAATGAACTGAAAATTATTTTCTGCCTCTTCACTCACCTGAAGTACACATACCATCTAATAAACCTGCCTCTCTGATGATAAAACTATGACATATGCAATTCAGTTAATCATTGTGAAATGTCAATAAAATTTCGTAATAGTACTGAAAACCATGAGAAACCCTCGCCCTAGTACTGAACACCAAGACACAGGCTGCACTTCACACAGTGAGTAGTTTCAAAGAGACACACAAGATTGTCTCACATAAAAGTGAGATAGTCTTTGCAAGATTCAAGTTTAAGGCAACGGACTAGCAATCACCAGGAATGAAGACAGACAAAAGAATAACATTGTGTCATGGGGACTGAAGAGTAGCAAGCTTAATTACTGAATTGCAGCAGCTGACTGGTCCTGTGAATGTCACTGCCTGTGCTTTCCTTGCCTGCTGTTGGAAACCAGGCAGCAAGGGTAGAAGAGGAATTCCTCACTGCCAGTGAACGCTTCTACCATGTTAACAGTTTAAGTACTACTCAGAACTGCCTCTAGAATCGGGCAAAGTTTTCCAAAGTATGACTTCTGTGACAATTTCAATCAACGTTAGCTGAAAATAAAATAAAGCCAGTAAAGAGGAAAAAAGAAGGAAAATTTACATTTTTGTTCAATCTGAATACAGAAGATCCTTAACAAATCATACAGATTGTATATGAAGCTCAGTGAATCTCCCTGCCTTTCCACAATGCAAATTTTACTTCAAAATGTGATGACTACTATCTGAAAAAAAACAAACAAACCCCACCTCTTATGCTCTAAAAGAATTAAATCTTCAATGTGGATTTAGAGCCTTCCTGACATTCTTTGAAAGAAACAACTTTCCTAGAAATTCAATCTTTTCTTAATAAAGCTAATGATCATATGAATATTAAAAAAAAAAAATAACCTTTCATGTGTTCTTCTCACCTTTTTTCATGTTACAAAATTAAGCTAGTGTTTATTTTAAAAATCTGCTATATTTACAGTTACCAATGCAAAGAAATAGGTAAAATGCTATTAACGTGCTAATGTAGATCCCTCATCTGCACCACCAAAGATATATTTAAATCTACTTACAGATAAGTGAGAATAAAGGTGTTTCACTAGCTGTAACATATATGTGAAGGGAGGCCTTAATGTTATATTATTGTAAATTGGTTTATTTAAGAGTGTCTCTAGAATTCCTTCTGAATCTAAACTTCAGTCAAGATTTCTACAAATGATAACATGTATGTATATCTTTATTCAACATTTAATGTCAATGGATATTCTGGGCTTTTGGAAGGAATTATTGTTACTTTACTGCAAGTTCCACACAGCCATAAAGCTCCAGGTAAAATGAATAAATGATACTGTTCTCACCTGAAGAACTTGGGAGTTTAAGACCATGACAAAACATATGACAGGAGAGGGTGTCGGGATTCTGAATCTTAAGCTATGAAATGATTCTTTACGCAGAAGCCAGCAATGAGCTACTTATTATCAGGCTTACAGTTAACACACTGGATGCCAATGGAAAACTACAAAAATATGAGCCTCCCTGTCATTTTGATCTCTGAAGAATGACATTAACAAGAACAGACTGTTCCTTAGAAATTACCTCTAATGCCTTGTGGTAAAATATCTTAGCAACCCTGGCATATTCTGAAGTCCTAAGATCCGCACCACCTCCTGGCAAAAGTACCCTGAAAGGCAACATCCAAGAATCTGATTAGCAACAGTGATCCAACTGGACAATGTACACAGAGACAGGTCTCATAGTGGTTTTAAGGGTAGGATTCAGGTCTAGATTAAGACATTTACAATCTACATTTCAGAAATCTATAGATAGGCATCTAAGCTTCCCTGATGGACAGCAGGGATCTAGTCAGAAAAGTCAGTGGAGGCTTGAATACATTTTCTACAGCAGACACCTACCTGGTCAGTAGGCTGAACAGCCCTATAGGCTCCACTGGCTGTACTGACTAGCACTCTATTAATTATGTGAGTTTTGACAGCTAGCATACATGCAGACATCTAAGTTTAGGTGTCTTAGTCTTTAACTGAATCGTATCCTAAATCTTAGTGTTCTTCTACTGAAGAATAGTTATTAACACAAAATAATGACAAAGCCTAGTGCAACGTAAGGAGGAGAGTAAATAGAAAATACACAAAACATACAGATTTCAGCTGATATACAAAAAGATTGTGTGCCTTTTGACAGTTTGCCTGACTGTCAAATCCTGTCCTGACTCTTAGCTGGCTCTCCCTGCCACTTTAAAATCCCAGCCCCAATCTTAATTCATCTTGTTCGATTTCAGTAAAGAAGAATTGTGGCCCTGGCAGAGTGACCTTCTTATTGCAGACAACACAGATCAAAAAGTTCTTATTAAAAAGGAAAAAAAAGTACGTTTGGCCATAACCTTTGGTTGCACAGGATCTAACATAGCCAAAGAAGACAAAGCAATCTCAGAGACAATTTCAAAGAAATAGCGTAGAATCTTTTTCCACCACAATAAAGAAAAAAGAAAAAAATCAGCAATGGCAATTCTCTGTGTAGTTCCCCACACCCAACATCACAAAAGAAAAGGACTCGGTACAGTCCAGCAGAGATTTCACATGTACACATGATGACACGGAAAGTAATCACGTACCATCAGAGACAGTAATGCGAAACAAAGGAAGTCTCTTCTGGCTGTAACTGGAACAGTACCAGGAGAACTGACAGAACTGAGTATGCAAGTGTTGCCTAACCCACTGCAGCAGAACCCTAACTGGACTTACTCAAGCCACATCCATCAGTTGCTGATCTTTTACCAAAATGGCTGAAGGATTTCCTCTGCATGTGCTCTGGAAATGGCAACCTGTATCAGTGAGATACTAAAGGAGCTAGAAACAACTAACATCTCAAATGATCCCAAGCATTTGCAGAGCAATTGTGCATTTAAACCATCATGACCAGGTTTATTTTAAGGTGAATGATGCACAGGATCATGCAAAAGCCACAAAGTATTTGGTGGAAAAGTAGAGCAGTATTCACAAAAATATAAATCAGATTACTCTCCAGAGCAAATATACAAAAGGAATACAGCTGAAGGTATTTTCAAAACAGGCCAGACTACAGATTTCTACAGAGATCTAGTTAGACAAATAGGGTGATCCTTACCTGGAAGTGGTAGAAAATTCACTAACCTGTTCCTTTTGTTCAACCCCAAAACTGGCCAATACTAATTAGGAAAAACAACTGTCATTTCTGCTAATGCAAAAAGGGAGTAACCCATTAAGTAGCAATGGTAATGGCTTGACATTGTCATAACCAGATTGAAATGCAGCTACCTGTATTCCAGTATCTCTAACTGATTAGAGCTGATGATGCTCACTGTAAATTTCAAATGCTATATTCATAAAATTCTGTCTCTACTGTAGTAAATTTCATGATTCTAAGAAGGTGGTGTTTAATAATAAATGATTTCCAACTGCAAAGAACCTGGAGCTAAGCTCTCACAACATGAAAGATCAATACACTCTTCCTTATTCTAAGTTTCCACAGAATGGAAAGTCCTTCCCTCCATAGGTCTTATTTGGTATTTACACACATCTATGCTGTGGAAACCATTAGCTGACAGTGGAGGGCAACAATAGGAAATACAGACCATCCTTACCCACCTACATAGCACAAACCCAACTACCAGCCACTGCAAAGACAGAAGGATAAGGGAATTGGATCTACTTGCCTAACACCCTGCACTGAGGTAGGTGGTGAGGTAGAAAGAACAGGAGACCCCATTGGTGAAAGTCCTTCTGGCAACCAAAGACAGGCTGGCAGCCATGAGAAAGGGATGAAATGATTCATTTTGTCTCCAACATGAGGAGTCGCGAGGAGAAAAGTGTCGTTATCTTATATACCACAGGACTGTAAAGACCCACGTGTTAATGCACAGGGCATGCCGTGGAGCATAAGAGAACAATGCACTCCCCAGACAGCCACAGACCTAAATCTGCAAGTTCTACACATGTTGATTAATATTCTAGTATATGCATAAGCTTAACAAAAATATTAACGGTTTAAGATGCTCAGCTGATGACTACAAGTGGCCCAATCACATGCTACAGGCTCACATACAATCAACCCTGTGAAGTGTAGCATTAGCTGATTTAACTCTTCTAAAGCGCACTTTTAGCACAAGGCAAACATAACAGGTTTTGCCTTGCTTAGTCCACAATTAAAATGTGTTAAATTAGGTCACGTTATCCTACATTTAAAATGGAGGAAGAACACATGGGTGGACAGTTGCCATAGGTCAGCTGAAAAGTTAGAATGTTTGTCTAACAAAGACCTAAGCCACAGAATCCCAACAGGCAAGATGGGCCGTTCAAGTAGCAAGAGAGAAAGCACCCAAAAAGAAAAGGGTAGAAGAGACTGGAAATCAGAAACTTTTATGACAGAGGAGATATGGAGAGGACTGGAAGAGGGAAGAAAGGGTAGGAACAGGGATGAAATACCCAGCAAGTGCTATTAAATATCAAAATTAAGGTGATCACTCAAATGAGGAAGAGGAAAAAATTAACAAAGAAGAAGCAAGCTATTTCACTTGTAAAACTCTTAACCACTATAATGCCACTTCTATCTGCCTGCAGACAAGCACAAGAGAACGCCAAGATCAGCCTTGGCACTGTTGCAGATTATCTGACATATGCTCCTCAAGGAAGAAAAGGCAGCAGACAGACATCGGATGAAATAGTGCTCTCTGAGAACGTATTTACATGTCTGCAGCACTCAGCACAATCTCTCAAGAGAGTAGAAAGGCAGTGTTCTTCAGAAATTGGAAGAGCTCAAAACCAGAACTAGCATGTCTTTCAACAGAAAATCAGTGCTCAAAACTTACCCATTAATAGAGTGGAATATTTTATCATATTCTTCATCTGAAAGATTTAATCTGAAACACCAAGAAAATAGTTACAGAACACATATGAAATACACATATTTAACCACAAAAATATCATTGTTATTGAACAGAAACATGGGACACAGAAAATACATAGAAAGCATGCTTTAAACAGAATAAAATAGTCTCAAATCAAATGAAACATTTCACTTGAAACAGCTCAGTAGAGTCTGAGAATCCACAAGACTGAAAATAGAAGCCTATCAGGTATAGTTTAGGATTAGGTACTCTGAGACCCCTTTGCAGATACTTGTTAAATTTAACATTTACATGAATGGCATGGTTATTATTTCCTGCAGACTGGCAACTCCGGTTTCCAATTGACTCCAAGAAGGGCAGAGCTGCAAACAGTGGGTCACACCCATTCTTCAGAAAAGATATAGTTGAGAGGTGAAAGGATGAGAAAGACCTCAGCATCAGCAAAACATCAGCAAACCACGGTACGATGGCTACACTTACGCAGAACCGATACACTGGGTACATTCAAAGCATCCAGCTTTGTTGCATCTAACTTAGTTGCCAGAATTAGAAGCCTCCATTCATCAATGAAGCTTCTGGTCAGCAACCATTTTGAAAGCTCCACCAGTTGCGTGAGGAGCACTGGCTTCTAATTCAGGCACTTAACCAGCACTCTTATTGGACTGTGTAGATACACCCTACTGTGATTTTCTACAGCTGCATTCATATTGTTTTTAACTTCTGACAATTATAATTTTAATATCTGATTTTACTATTTTATAGTTAACTGTTGGCTATGAAGCGTTGTCAGTTTGTTTACTACTCTGCTACTTTTTACCCAACAACCAAAATACTAGAACACATGGAGTCAGTGACCCATGGTTTGAGCAGAACTGGACTTTGGTCTCTTCAAGGACTACCAATAGCCTTCCTCCATTACTTGAATTCTAGGACTACAGAATGTGACAAAAGATAGTATGTATATATGTATCCAGATATCTATGTGTGTTTGTGGGGCACTACATGTTAGCCAACTTCAAAAACCATGGATACAAACTATGGAAGGTAATTTTACAGGTAAAAAAATAGTATTTTTCAAAGAAAGGTTGTTATCATAAGAATCAATATTAAAAATTACATGTTCCAGTTTGCTTTTATTCTGATTTCTAAAACACCCTGCAAATGGTGGCATTAAAATAGTCTTTGAGGAGCTCTGAACACTCAGAAAAGCAGCACAATTGCTTTCTGTGCCTCTAAGATGATAACCTTACATTAAACAATTATTACCCACTTGTAAGGACATAAAAATGTACCTTATTGGCACAACTCGGGCACCGGCAGATTCCAAAAACTTCACGTATGAAGCTGCAATATAAGAACTTCCAAATCTTTGGAACTTCTTAGAGTGACATTCCTGTGACAATATCCCTGAAGGGTCCAAGAAAGAAAGTTAGCGCTACACAAACAGCCAACACTATGCACCGGAAGAAAAATTAAACTCCGATTTCCTACATGCCATGTCACAGCGTGACATTTACTGCCTGAAGGAATTACAAACGCTGAGACAATGGGGCATCAATTACGATGCCCAGTAAACACATTATGTGACTAAGGCTCAGCTTCCCTGCTTTAACTATTTCGTACTACAACTTCTCTTAAATAAGTTATTGCTATTTTAAGATTTTTAAACACAGCATGCATAGCGTGACACTATTTATAAAAGCGTTAACCAAACGTTCTCTTCAGGAGACCTCTCACCCCACACAGAAACCGGCAGGGTTTCATGGCGGCTGTGGGAGCCGTTCCCTGCCCGGG